TATGATCATGTGTGCTGCCAAAAGTTCTGCCCACTATGGAGACTTCCCTTCACCGGTATCTTTCAGGGTTGTCCCAGAAAGCGGTTATAATGCTGTGGCTGTCCACTTCTGTCTGGGGTAGTGCCTGCCTAACATGCAGAACCATCCGCAAACCAGGTCCTGGTCTTCTCTTCCTTAGTCAACCAATCAAAGGCCCACTCCATGAGTCTGGAACTTAAATTTCCACTGTAATTCAGCCAACCTTATAATGAGGGGACCAGTTTTTCATAGCAAGCTCTGTGGCTTCTGGAGAGAAGATTCTCTTCCAGGACACACTGAGAAATCTTTAGACTGTTGTGTGCATCTGGAGCTGGTCAGTTATATTACTGAGTTCATGTTGTCTGTCACTGTATTCTGAGGTGGTTAATTTTATCACAGAGCTCATTGTTTTCCTCTGTCAATTTACCCAGAGATATAGGAGCAACTGACAAACATCATCATATTCCTTATTTTCCCACAAGTTGGTTGGGCATGGTGGCACACGCCTTTAATCCCAGTAGTGGGTAGGCAGAGGCAGGTGGATCTCTGAGTTCCAGACCAGCCTGGTCTACAGAGTGAGTTTCAGAACAGCCAGGACTACACAGAGAAGGTTCATCTCGAAAAACCAAAAGCCAACCAACCAAAGAATTTTTCAGTAGCTGGAGAGGTTTCAGTAACTGTAGGTGTTGGCAAATTGGAAAGCCTATTCCAGATGCTTAAAAAATTCATCCTTACTGGGTGGTGGTGGTGTGTACCTTTAATCCCAGCACTCAAGAGGCAGAGGCAGATGGATCTCTGAGCTTGAGGCCAGCGTGGTCTACCTAGTGAGTTTCAGGACAGCCAGAGATACACAGAGAAACTGTTCCAAAAAAAAAAAATCAATCCTTATACTTCTCTAGAACTACTTCTGGTACCAAAATCTATTAGGGTTCTCTAAAGGAATAGAATTTACTGAATCAATCTATCTGTCTGTCTATATCTATCTCTATTCATATTTATCATCTATCTTCTATCTCTCTCTCCCTATCTATCATCTATCTATCTGTCTGTCTGCCTGCCTACTTACCTACCTACCTCTATCTATCTATCTATCTATCTATCTATCTATCTATCTATCTATCTATCTATCTATCTATCTATCTGAAAGAGGATTTATTAAAGTGGCTTAAAGGCTGTGGTCCAGCCAGTCCAACAATGGCTGTCTACCAACAGACAGTCCAAGCATCTAATAGTTGTTCAGTCCATGAGGCTGGATGTCTCATGGGGCTCCAGAGTCCTAAAGAAGTGGGCTTCTAATGGCAGTGAAGGAATGGGCTTAAGCGTCAGTGGGAGCAAGCAAGCAAAGAGAGAGCGTCTTCCTTCCATGTCCTTTATATAGGCTGACAGAATAAGATGTGGCCCAGATGAAAGGTTCATCTCCCACCTCAAAAGATCTGAATTCCATATCACAGGTGGGTCTTCCCTCTTGAAATGATTTAATTAAGAAAAAAATCCATCAGAGGTGTACTCAGCCTCTTGGATTTTTGTTAATTCCAGATGTAGTCAGGATGGCAACCAAGAATAGCCGTCACAAATGGCAAGGGTACCGGGGTGTAAAAAGTCTCACAGAGAGTGAGAATTGTACCAGTCAGGGCGGAAACCATTCCAGTTGTTTTCACAGAGAAACAAAACCAACACAAAAACTTTAAAGAATTTTTAAGTTGGTAACTGAAGACACAAAAGGTTTTCTTAGAGGTAGTTACTGCAGAAAGTAGCTTCCATTCCTGAGGTTACATCTATGAAGGGAAGAGGTTAGAGTTGTTAAAACTTAGAAGGGTGCAAAGAATCTGGTTCTGGAAAAACTGCAAGCCGAATTCAGCTCCTGTACTGGAAAGGTGTTGTTCCAGTTAAGATAAGAAGTCTTCGGGAAATACTCCTCAGTACAGGAAGCAGACGGTGAACTAAAAAGAAAAACTGATTAGAGGAAGCAAAGGGAAATGCCAACTCTTTCCACTGCCCATTATTGGCAGATATTAATTCAGCCTCAGTGTCCCCAAATAATATCCAAAAGGATTCATTTGGAGCTAAAAGACCATATATTGTGGGCTGGATTATATCACTCCTCCAACCCCAAAATTCATATGTTGAGGCTCTAATTTCTAGGACTTCATGTTTATTTGGAGATTGGGCCTTCAAAGAGACAAGTTAACATGAGACCAGTGGGTGGGGTCGTAATCCAGTTTGATGGACGTCTTTATAAGGAGAACGTTGAACACAGAGAGACACTTAGTATGCACTTGTACAAAGAAGAGGCTTTGAGCCGGGCGGTGGAGGCTCATGCCTTTAATCCCAGCACTCCAGAGGCAGAACCAGGTGGATCTCTGTGAGTTCGAGGCCAGCCTGGTCTACGGAGCGAGAGCCAGGACAGGCACCAAAACTACACAGAGAAACCCTGTCTCAAAAACAAACAAACAAACAAACAAACAAACAACAAAATGAAGAGGCCTTGAGAGGACATAGAAGGCAAGCAGGCATCTGCAAGCCGAGGAAAAGGCCAAATAGTGGGTTTTCAGCCTCCAAAAAACCCTAAGAAAATAAATTTTGTTTGTTTGATGGACCTCATCTGTAGTATTTTTATTGTGGAATTCCCAAATAGCTAATACAGGACATAGACGTTCCACAAGTGTGCTATGAGGTGCAACTGTAAGAGGAGTGAGTCCTGCTTCACTCTGATTCCTGACCAATGTATTCTGTGGTGAAGAGGGGGCTTTATGTCCCAGGTAAGAAAGGAGCCCACCCCTTTAGAGTGGTGACTTCTAAATGGTGCCATAGCTGAGTCTGGATAGGCTGGTCCGCATTGTTAGTTGGTCCCAGGTGGTGGACTGTAGGACATGATCAGTGAATTTCCTGAGATTGAGCCCCTTTCTGTACTGCTGTGAAATGAGTTCCTTGATCAAAGTGATGTTGTGTGGACTGCTACAGCAGTGAACGAGGGCTCTGTGTGTTTATAGATGGGTTACTGGCAGAAGGTGCGTGGATTAGGAAGTAGACCCATATTCAGAATATGTGTGTATTCCAGTGGGGACACAGTATACAATCCACTCAATACCATGTCACTGGTCCCCTCAGGGAATAGTGCCACACTGTGAACTTAGTGTTGGTCTCCACTATTGGTGGATTAGGTGTTCAGCTGTAACAGTAAATAGTCCAGCCTTCAGGAGAAGTCCAAGTTGAGCCCATCCGTACACAGCCTCCAAGTCTGCCGCCACAGCCACGTTATAACTGTGTCTATCAGTCGATCCCTGCGTGGCTCAGGAAGGAGGGGGATGGACACCCACATGTACCATTCTGTCACCTTGAGTGTTCAGAACCTCCTTTGGAACAGATGCTCCTTAGGAAGCGCTCACATGGGATACGAATCTTGTCAGCTCATCTCCTTATTTTGTCTTTCCCAAGTTTGTGAACATCCCATAAAGCAATGTGTTCTGTTTCTGACCACATCTGCCCAGACAAGAATGTGGACAAACATGTATTACGTGAAGTTCTGGCTACCAGGAGGAGCTTCTTCCTTCTCTCTCTCCTGCTTATTTTCTCCCCTCCCTCCCTTTCTTCCCATTTCCTCTCTTTCTTTTTTTTCTTTTTTTTTTTGAAGCAGGGTCTTGTGTAGCCCACGCTGGCCTTAAACTCTAGTAGCTGAGGATAATTTGAACTTGGGATCCCACCTAGTGCTGGGATTACAGGGTGTGTCACCACACCCGGTTTTATGTGATCCTGAAAACTGAACCTAGGGTTTCAAGCATGCTGGGCAAGTATTTTACCAACTGAGCCTTACGGGGGGCGGGGGGGGGGGGGGGGGGGGGGGGGGGGGGGGCAAGGAATTTTCATTCATGACCATGACAGTGATTCACTTTTAGCTGGTGCCACTGTATCTTACAGAACCATTATCTATCTATTTATTTATTTTTGAGACAGGATTTCTCCGTGTAACCTTGGCTGACCTGGAACTTACTCTGTAGACCAGGCTGGTCTTGAACTCAGAAATCTGCCTGCCCCTGCCTCCCGAGTGCTGGGATTAAAGGTGTGCGCCACCCCAGCCCTGGCTTCACAATAGATTTACTAAGAGACTCCAGCAATGGACTCACATTTTATATTAAGAAAAATGATTTTCAGGGGCCAGTGAGATGACCCAGAGAGTAAGGACGGGTGATAACAAAGCCTGATGCCCTGAGTTCAATTCCTAGGACTCACATAATGGAGGAAGAGAACTGACTCCCAAAGGTTAACCTCCACACCACACACACACACACACACACACACACACACACACACTAAAATGTTTTAAAAGGCAAAATATATAAATAGGAAAGTATATATAAATACATAAGGAAATTCAACTAAAATATATTTTGAGATACATATATATGCTTACATTTGTGCACATTTAAGAGTTGTTCACATGGAGTACTTGGGGCCAGGTGTGGCGGTACATACCCGTAACCCCAGAATTTGGGAAAGATAGAGGTAGGAGGACCAAAGGTTCAAGATCAAACTTGGTTACATTGTGAGTTCACGGCCAAACTGGACTACATCAGAACTTGTCTCAAAGCGAACAATAAATAAATGAAAAATAAAGGTATCTGGCTTCTTTGTAGAGACTCTTATTTAATGGTCTGGAATGGGACTTGGATACTGGCTTTTCTTCTTTTTGTTTTGGTGGTGTTGGGGGTTGTGATAAGCAGGCACTTCACCTTAGGCATGGCCTCAGTTTCATATTAGAATGTTTTAAGAGCCTAGGTGATTCTGGTGCGCAGCCTGAGTCAGGAACTGCTAATACAAAACAATAAATGTTGTCGAGTGTAGTTTAATGATGGAGACAGAGAAACTGATATCAACTGCAACAGGCAAATTACCGTCATGCCCTTAGCTTGAGTAGATGGGCTGTGACAGCTGGACTATGGGTGTGTGGTTGTCTTCCGGTTTGTAATGCTGTTGTGTCTCCTCAGTCCTTATCCAGCTCACCACCCAGCTGAAGCTGGAGCAGATCATCCATTGCCTAGTGAACGAGTGCCACAGAGAAGTGAGTATGTAGCGGTGGGTCCTTGAGACCCCTCAGAATCCTCAGATTCTGTCAGAGCTAAGTCAGTCCTCCTTTGAGTAGGTGGGGAAATTGAACTCTAGAGATTTGCCGAAGGCCCCACAGCTGGTGCCAGAGCCAGAGTATGGCCCTGAGGCTTCCGATCCTGCTCTAGCGCATTCAACAGCTTCCTTCTACTTTCAGTATTCCAGATTCTACTGCTGTACAGAAGAGCCTCATAGTGCCTGTGCAGTCATCCCATAGTCCATTCTCGGTGTCTTCCTAAACACAGCACACAGTGGGGTCATCCCACAGCCCATTCTCAGTGTTTTCCTAAACATAGCACACAATGGGGTCATTCCACAGCCCATTCTCAGTGTTTTCCTAAACACAGCACACAGTGGGGTCATCCCACAGCCCATTCTCAGTGTTTTCCTAAACACAGCACACAGTGCAGTCATCCCACAGCCCATTCTCGGTGTCTTCCTAAACACAGCGCACAGTGCAGTCATCCCACAGCCCATTCTCGGTGTCTTCCTAAACACAGCACACAGTGGGGTCATCCCACAGCCCATTCTCGGTGTCTTCCTAAACACAGCACACAGTGGGGTCATCCCACAGCCCATTCTCGGTGTCTTCCTAAACACAGCACACAGTTCTTTGATAAATTTATCCAGGAGTAATTTCTGTGTCTGAATTCGGTATTTCCACTTGGTTTTGAGTTGTATGCATGACTTGGTATCAGTATCTGAAGCAAATCTGGTGCATGCTTGTATAACATGCTTTCTTTACCAGGCTAACAACCACTTAAACAGTATCTTTTATAATATGCCTAAGACTGAGGGGTAATATCAGAGCCACCTTTTTTTGAGATGAGATCTCACCATGTAGCCTTGGCTGGCCTGGACCTTGATGTGTAGATCGGACTGGCCTTGAATTTATGGAGCTCTTCCTACCTCTGCCTCTTGAATGAGGGATCAAAGGTGCATACCACCACACCCAGCTTAGAATCACTTTTTATTTATTTTTCAGAAGGAAGACAAATGTTTACCTTAAACATCAAGAGGAATGTTTAATTTTATATTGTATTTAAATTAGATAATTATTTTGTATGTGATTAATTAAACTTATAATTATATGTAAATACTCATGATGATGATGCCATTAACACTTACTGAACACTTGCTGTGTCTTAGGCACTGTGTGGTGATTTGTATGCAAGGTCTTTTTCTATCTTTTTCTCTTTTTGAGATAGTCTCCCTATCTGCAGTCCAAGCATTGAACATTCAATCCTCTTGCCTCAGCCTTTCAAGTGTTGGCATTTTATACCACAATACCCAGCTTATATGAAATATCTTTTTAAATTAAAATGAAGCTTTTATTTTAATGCTCATGGGTGTTTTGTCTGTCTGTATATCTGTGCCCCGCATGCATGCCCTTGGAGACCATTGGGAGTTGTAGATGGTTCTGAGCTGCCATGTAGGTGCTGAGACTCAAACATGAGTCCTTTGGAAAAGCAGCTAGTACTCTTAACCGCTGAGACATCTCTCTAGACCCCCACCCCCTTTTTGAGACAGGATTTATTAGTAGACCAGGATGGCCTTGAACTCAGAGATCCCACACCTCTGTCTCCTGAATGCTGGGATCAAAGGCATGAGTTGCCATGCCTGGCCTATGTGCAGTATCTCATCCAGTCTCATCAGCAAATGTAGGAGAACACTGCTGCTGTTGTTTTCCACCAGAAGAGCCTATGCCGTGGAAAAGGTTGCTCTCCCTGTAAAGCACAAAATACAGTGCTTGCCACACAGAGTGTTCAATAAGAACTGAGCATAGTGGTACAGCCTGTTATACCCAGTCTCAGCTGTATAGAGAGTTTAGGCTAGCATGGGCAACGTGAGATCTCAAAAAACAAAACAATTAAGGTTTGCATCTATCATAAGGTCAGTAAAATAAAAATGATTACTCTAGTCATGCAACACTCATTCATTATGCTGGGGATATCGTTCAGGGGCATAGTGAGGTTCTGTTTTCAATTCCCAGTACTACATCCACAAAAGAGTTCAATAATGGTAGCTAAAATATGTAGGTATGTACATTTAGAGTCAGTGTTTTATCTTTATGAGGTTTCCAACTCTTATCTTCCCATTTCTGGTTCTGAAGGAGGCCAAAAAAAATACTTACCTATTTATATATTTTGCATTTTAAAACATGTACGTGTGTGTGTGTGTGTGTGTGTGTGTGTGTGTGTGTGTGTGTGTGTGTGGTGTGTAGATTGAGCCTAGGACCCCAAGCATGCTAGGCAAGTGTTCAACCACCAAGCTACATCCCCAGACAAAGTATGTTAATATTAATACAGTTTAACAAGCGTGTACCGTAGTTGGTTTTTTTTGTTTTTTTTTTTTGTTTGTTTGTTTTTACTCTTTGATCTTTGGGGGCCCGCCACCCAGTTCCCAAATGAATACACAGAGACATATTTTTACTTTTGAATGTCCAGCCTTAGCTTGGCTTATTTCTTGCCAGCTTTTCTTAAATTATCCTGTCTATTCTTGGCCTCTGGGCTTTTATCTTTCTCTATTCTGTATACTACTCGTTTCTTCTTATTCCATGTCTGGCTGTGTGGCTGGGTGGCTGGCCACGATGTCCTCCTCCCCTCCTCCTTTTCTTGATCCTTGATCTTCTCCTCCCAGATTTCTATTTACTCTCTCTCCTGCCAGCCCCGCCCATCCTTTCTCCTGCCCAGCTATTGGCCGTTCAGCTCTTTATTAGACCAATCAGGTGTTTTAGACAGGCACAGTAACGCAGCTTCCCAGAGTTAAACCAATGCAGCATAAAAGAATGCAGCACATCTTTGCATCATTAAACAAACGTTCCACGGCATAAATGAATGTAGCACATCTTCAACTGCTATTCCACAACAATGTGCTAAGCTGGGCTCTGAGGCCTCAGAGAGGAATTTGACTTGGTCCTTTCCTCCAGGAGCTCCCAGTTGAATGGGGGAGACGGAGACTGAACTAAAGCCAGTTGTGAGAGAGGCATGCATGGCAGGCTCTACCCTGGGGAGGTCGGCCATGACTCTTGACGGCATGTGTTCGCTCTCTCTAGCTGTGTAGCATGCCCTCCATGGGAAGCAGCCTGGCCACCATGACTCTTCTTGGCAAGCTGGTGGATGCCATCCCTGGTTTGGCGGATGAGCTGGTAATGGAGCACGGTAAGTTTCCTGTGGAGAGGGTGGCTTCTTCCCTCTACCTCCTTTGTATTTACTGTGTATGCACACGTGGGAAGGCATTACTTTCCTTCCGTACGCTTCAGTTTTGTTTTTTTCATCTGCAGAATGTGCTCTATATATGTCAGTTTGAAAAAAGCCAGTTTCTTGACTCTGGTCTTGGGCTTTTTTTTTTTTTTCTTGAGACAGGGTCTTACTACATAGTGCAGCCTGGACTCAAACTCACAGTTTTTCCTTAGTCTACTGAGTACTGGAATTAGAGGTGTGCATTACACAAATGAATTAAGGGCTTATCATGACCTTCCTTTTGGGTAGAAAGATAACTTAATTCTGGGACATAGAAGCACTTTTGCATTTTTTTTTTTTTTTTTGGTTTTTCGAGACAGGGTTTCTCTGTGTAGCTTTGCGCCTTTCCTGGGACTCACATGGTAGCCCAGGCTGGCCTCGAACTCACAGAGATCCGCCTGGCTCTGCCTCCCGAGTGCTGGGATTAAAGGCGTGCGCCACCACCGCCCGGCGCATTTTATTTATTTAGAGTGTGAAGGTGCACACTTGTGTGCAGGTGTGTACATGTTTCAGAGAGTTTGTGGAGTTCAGAGAACAACTCTTGGGTGTCATTTTCTTCTGCTAGCTTGTGGGATCCAGAGGTCAAGCTCAGGTTTTTAGGTTTTCAGGCAAGCCCCTCTACCCACTACTCACAGACTCAGAAGCACTTAAAAAAAAAAAAATCAGTGACGTGCAAATCTATATCCCCCAGAGGGCTATCCTTTAAGATTTGACTTTCTCTTTTGGTTGTGCATTTAGGAAGCATTTATTGTAGGGAATTTGGGAAATCACTATTGCCTCACTGAAGACCCAAAGAGAGTATCACATCCCCTGGAGCAGGGGTTATTAAGGTGGTGCGAGCCCCTTGATATGGGTGCCGGGACCTGAACTCAGGTCCTCCTTATGAGCAGTAAGCGCTCTTGAACTCTGAGCCATTTCTCCAGCCTCTAGTTTGGAGTGTGTGGTACCTGATGTGAGATCCCTTGTTTGTGGCTGGAGAGATGGCTTAACAGTTAGGAAGACAAGTTCCGTTCCCAGCACCCACATCCCGCAGCACACAGCTGCCTGTAGCTCTGGATCTGACACCCTCTTCTGCCCTCCTTGGGCACCTGCCGCCACCTGCATTCCCATGCACAAACCCACCCGCAGGCACAACATTAAAATAAAACTTAGAAGATTTCTCCTTGCTTCTTGGTTGCTTTCTGGACAGGCAACTTGATGGAGCATCTGTTGAGAGGCTTGGTTTACCCCAACGAGGGAGTGCAGGCTTCCATCTGTTACCTCTATGGGAAGCTCTACTCCTCGCCCACAGCGGCTGAGATGCTTTCAGGCCATTTCCGAGAGAAGCTGTGTCCCCTCTTCCTCTCCACCCTGGACAATGCCCAGACCAAGGAGCTGCAGTTCAACTGCCTGGGTAAGACAGTGTGTCAGAGAGTAAAGGAAGAAGCTCTTGAATTGGAGGACTTAAGATGCTGGCTGGTGCAGGTGAAGCGGGGGGTTCGCTGCATTGGAGAGAGCAGAAGGCAAGTTTGGGAGAGAAGAGTCGTAGAGTGTATGCGGGGTGCCTAGATTTGGTGTGGAACCTTAAGAATGATGTCTTCGGCAGAAAAAGATGGAGGAAAATAGAAGTTTGGTTTTTTTTTTCATCTCCCATATAGTCACTTTCCTAGTCAGAAAATCCTCTATGCCTTCTTCTGGCCTCCAGGGTAAAGTTCAAGTTTCCCTGCTTGTTACATAGGCTGCTTCTTCCTTCTCTTCCTTCTCCTCCTCCTCCTGCATTTGAGACAATGTCTCAGTATATAGCTTAGGCTGGCCTAAGGATTCTAACCATACTTCATGTCTACAGAGACCCTGAGAAGTCTCTCAGGATATGTGAGGGGCCCTCTTGGGAGGACTCTGGTGCCTCACCCAACCCCTCTGCATCCTAGGTTTGCTAAGGCAGTTGCTGAAGTACGATCTCTTCGTGTCCGTGATCATGAACAAGTCTGTGCTGGCGGAGAATGCTGAGAGCGCAGAGCGGCCATCAAGAGAGACCTCTCTGCCTCTGGTGCTCAAAAAGGTAGTGGTGGGCCAGGGATCGCAGCTCAGTCCTCCAGCATGTGGCTTAGCATGTGAGGCAGGAGGGTCAGGAAGGCAAGATTATCTGGGCCACATGAGATCGATCCTCTCTCAAAACAACAATGATAGCAGTAACAAAACCCAAAACAACAAAACCCCAAACCCTTAAAGAACAAAGCAAAATCAAAAACAGCCTCCCTCAAAACAACCAGGTTTTGATGAGATACTTTAGTTGTGGGAAGACCTCTAAATTTACAATTGTCTGACCTTGCCTTTGCCTCTTCTCGTCTGTGTGGACCGGAGTTTGACGGTCTGCTGAGAGGACTCATTGGACTGGACTGAGTGTTTAGTTATATGGCAACAACTTGTTACACCGAAAGGCTGCAAAACAAAATTGAAACGGGAAAAGGCACATGTGGGGAGGTCCAAGGGAAACTGGACAGAGGTTTCTAGAGTCCTCTCCCGGGGTGCTATAGCTCCTCCAACAGTTCATTGTGAAAACAGCTGGGAAATGTTGCCTACTGAGGGGGGTCTTTATGTTCTAGAGTTTTGCCTGGAGCAGGGTGGTCATGAAGGTACCCTCTGCCTCCCCTAGCCTAAGTTTCTGGGCTCCTGGAAGGACAGCAGCTGCTCAGCAGAAACATGTTCACATAGTTTAGTCGAAGTTACTCTCATTGGTTCTGCACCAGTAGAACCTCCAAAAAACCCGAGTTCCAAACCCAGCCAGAGTTCAGTTTTGCAGACAGGTCTCTCCAAGAGCAATAGCTTTAGGCTAGTTACGTTAACTCTTTTTGACACACTCAGAAAAGCAAAGATCAGAGTGGTGGAATCTTCTCTCCTTGCGTCACGTGACTAAAGAAATGCCCAAACCAGAGAGGAGCTTTTGCTAATGAATCCCAGTTTCTGAGTTGATGTTCCTTTGAGAATTGTCACTGGTGGGGTTTCAGTTCTTCCTTCTGTTTTTCACTGTGTTAACAGAGATTCATTTCCACAATCTATAATTGTTCCTCTGTTGCCAGGTACTATGACATGGGAGCCCTGATGATTTCGGCTTCTGCCTGAGCCCTGTAGGTTGGGGCCTCTGGTCTTCTTGATGTGACTGGGACACTTTTCACTGTTTTTTCCAGTTTCTGCTCTCCAGAGACGAGATCCTGCAGGTGGCTAGCTCCCACTGTATAACTGCAGTGCTGATCCACTCCCCTGCAAAGCATGCTGTTGCCTTCATTCATGCTGACATCCCAGGTATGGGAAAGCTCTCCTCTTCCTCTCTGGGGCCTCGAGAATTGTGACTAGAGCTGTGAGGTCGCAGCAGCAGTTCTGTCAGAAGATCTCTGATAACCCACCCTGCAGGGCTAAGATCAGTTGTCTGTGAAGTAGACTTCCTAGTCTCTGATGGACTTGAGCAGTTTCTTACTGATGTTTGTCATTCATTCGACCTTCAGGGAGTGGCAGAAAGACCCGAGACAAGAAGGGCAAATGTCCGTCTAGGAGCTTTGAGGGGCCAGGAAACAAGCCTTGCGATTATTGCAGATGTCAAATGTTTTGGTGCCTGTCTTGGTTATTTTACTTTTTGTGGTTCAGGGTTTCAAACCAGGGCCTTGCACATACTAAGCAGGCACTCTGTCACCAAGCTGCACTCCAGCCCATCATTATTTTATGGTTTAGGAAAGTGATTTTTCCTAGAAAAGATACACACTTATATACATGGAGACAATTACACGGTACTCACCAGACCAATGTGAGTAGATACACCTTTTTCGATAGAGGAAGCGGGAAGATGTGGAACGCACTCAACTTTGAAGGGTTGTAAATGATAATTGAGGAGAATTAAGGTTCAGGGAAGGGAAATGATATTCCAAATCAACGAGAATAGTCATTGGCAGAGATGTGATGTGTAGCGGAGACTGATTCTCAAAGCTCCCCCTTTCTAAATTGTGCTGGTGCCCATCTGCTCTTCCTGAGAGTTTGAAAACCTGAAGTTCCAGTCTGCCAAGCAGAAATGGCCTTCACTGTTCCTGTGGCTTTTTCAGGTCCTCAGTTTACCCATCTGTTAAAAAAAAAAAAGAAATACCGCTGGGCAGTGGTAGTGCATGCCTTTAATCCCAGCACTCGGGAGGCAGAGGCAGGCGGATCTTTGTGAGTTCAAGGCCAGCCTGGTCTATCGAGCGAGATCCAGGAAAGGCGCAAAGCTACACAGAGAAATCCTGTCTCAAAAAAAAACAAAAACAAACAACAACAAAAAAAAAGAAATACCTTCGTGACCCTGAGAACACGTTGAAGGTTTATCTGCAAATTGGCAGTTTCTGATGGAGACGTGTGTGTGTGTGTGTGTGTGTGTGTGTGTGTGTGTGTGTGTGTGTGTGCAGACACAAGGAGAAAGAAGAGGTAGAGTTCAGTCTCATGTCATTTAAAGGACCGTGACCTCCAGCTGTCATTTATTGTCTTCTCACTCCTTGGCCAGAGTTCCTCTTCGAGCATCTTTCATCCTCCAGCGAAGTGCTTGTGTGGTCCAGCTACAATTGCTTGATCCTCCTGGCAGAAGAACCCCTCTTCTTTTCCAAGTGCCACACCGTGTATGGTTGGTAGTGTGGGCCCTGCGCTGACTCCGGGTTCAGGGCCAGCAGTTTAAAGTTGGATTCCAGCTACGGAGTCGGTGGAGGGGCTGGCATCCACTTTAGGGGGTGGGGCTCAGACTCACTCCATGTGTAAACACTGATATCTAGTTGGTCCTGTTGAGACTCTTCCTCAAGGGAAGGGCGGTCTTATTAGCCGCTAAATGAATTCTAGCTTCACATCAAGCACTGTGGTGGTATTTTGTGTGTGCTCTAACAAATAAACCTTGTCTGGAGATCAGAGTGCAGAGCTAAGCCACTAGTTAACCATAGAGTCCCGGTGGTGGTGGCTCACACCTTTAATCCCAGAATTTGGGAGGAGGAAGCAGGAAGATCAGGAGTTCAAAAACTCCTGGGCTATAGAGTGAGACACTGTCACACAGAAACCTCTCTCACATGCTTGGCTTCCTCTTTTTTTTTCTTTTCTTTTTTGGTCTTTTTTGTTGTTGTTGTTTGTTTGTTTTTTTGTTTCTCTGTGTATCCCTGTCCTGAAACTCACTCTGTGGACCAGGCTGTCCTGGAACTCACAGAGATCTTCCTGCCTCTGCCTACTGAGTAGTGGGTTTAAAGGCATGCGCCACCACTGCCCAGCTCTGTTAGGCTTTCCAAGGAAGGTAAACCTTTGGTGTGGCTGAGGTTTGAGCTTTTGAGGAAGAGAAGGCTAGAGGACCCGGGAGACAGCAGGACAAGGTCAGAGGCCTATCTTGGCAGGTGACAGGAGAGCATTTTGGGTGCTGTATGACATTGAATAAGTCACTGGACCTCTGAATTTCTCTTGGTAGGCTAGTCACTATGGCTCTGGTCTGCAGAAGACCTGGGCTTGGGAGTATGACTCTGATAGGCTCTGGCAGGGATGACTGGGCTGACATTACCCATGCTATCTGTCACAAGTGCTATGGAGAAGTCCCTACTTGAGAGGTGACCAGTGTCCTGTCTGCTGAGTGTGTGTGACTTTGTGCTGGCCCTTTTCTCTGAACCCCAGTGCCTCCATCTGGAGAGGAGGGGCTGATGAGATGTCTCCTTTCGGCTTTGGGAGTCAAGGCCAGCCATGCTCACCCAGTGGGACAGTGCCTAGCACTGGAACTCAGGCTGTCACTTAACTAGACTGGGCAGCTACATTGCTGACCTGTTGGTTAAATAGGGCCCTCCAGCCACTCTGTCCATTGACTTCACCCTCCCTGTCACCTCTGCTCAGAGAGTCCAGTTTGAGCCGGACACAATGGGGCTGGTCTGGGAGGGAGAGAAGGGGCCTTTGGTGGAGCTGGGCGAAAAGAGATTTGGTGGCTGGAGAGATGCTCAGTAGTTAACAGCGTGTGCTCTCTTTCAGAAGACCCATGGACAGCTCACAACCATTTGCAACTCGAGCTTTTCTTGGTTAGATTTTTGTCAACTTGACACAAACTAGCATTTGGGAAGAGGAGACTCAGCTGAGAAAAAACCTCCATCCAGATTGCCCGGACACAAGCCTGTGGGGGCATTTTCTTTTTCTTTCTTTCTGTTTTTTAATTTTTTTAAATTTTATTTATTTATTTTATTGAGACAGCGTTTTTCTATGTAGTCCTGGCTGTCCTGGAACTCTCTGTAGACCAGGCTGGTCTTGAACTCAGAGATCTGCCTGCCTCAGCCTTCTGAATGCTGGGATTAAAAGCATGCACCACCACTACCCATCCAACTTTTGTATGCTGTTTCTCATCTATGTTGGGTTCGAGACAGGAAGTTTAGAAATACATATATAATATGGTCTCTGCTCCCAAGAAAGGAAGAGAGGTGTGAATAGGCAATTTTAGTACAAGTTAATTCAAAGTCTCCTAAACAGAAGCAAAAAGAGCTCCTAGGGGACGCAGTTCACAGGTCTTCCTGGATGGAGATGGAGGTCTTTCTGGAGGACCAGAGGCTGGACCTGATTCTTCGTGTGTGCTAAGTGGGAAAGATGTGACTTAATCAGTAGGGGTTGAGTGCTTGAGTCTGTGTGGATGTAGGGGAAACAGAATTAAATAGATGAGGGCATGTCCTTGGGTCTCCTCCCCCCCCCCACACACACCCCGCCATGCTGGTGCTTGAACCCAGGCCTTTAGCACGAGGCAAGCATTCTATCACTGTATGATAGTCCCCGTCTTATGGCATTGGTTCGACCTTGTCAGGGTCATTTCACGAGGGTCCTATAGCTTGTAGGTTCTGTTTAGAGTATATCACCCCTCCTGGGTGGTTAATGGAAGAACCACAGAGCACCGACCCCTTGTCTGTGGTCTGTTTTCCCGAGGTAGGGATTGAGGCCGTGGTGAGGAGCCTCCAGGGAAGCCTGCAGATGACCAACACCGAACTGCATAAGCAGGGCCTGCTGCTCTTTGCTGAAATTCTGACTCGGTAAGCAGAGACGTGGGGGTGGAACTGGAAAAGGAGAGGGGAACATTTATTCCTGGTGGGCCCGGGGATGATTCATTCCCTCGTTTCTCATCTACCATTTCCTAGGCAGCCAGAGGAGGTCAGGCTGTTCACAAGTTCAGCCATGTGCAGAGATGCCAGCCGTGCCCTCCAGGAGGCGGTGAGCAGCCCCGTGTTAGACGTAGCCGCTGAAGCTCTGAGGGCCATTTCAGCTTTTCTGAGGTGAGAGGCTGAGGCAGGCGGAACTGAACATGCCCGAGGGGCTGTGGAAGCCAGGGAGTTTCTAGGGAGGCTTTCTTGTATCACTCTCCTCCTCACTATCATTTGTTGTTACTGTTGTTTTGTCGAGACTGGGTCTCCTACTGTAGCCCAGGCTGGCCTAAAATTCACTCTATCCCAGGCTGACTTCAAACAATAATTTTTCTATCTCTGCTTTTTAAGTATTAGGATTAGGCATGAGCCCCACACCTGATTTCTTTAGTTCCTTCCTCCTTCCCTTCCTCCTCCTTTTTTAAAAACTTGAGACAGGGTTTTTCTACACAGCCCTGGCTGTCCGGGAACTCACAATGTAGACCAGGCTAGCTTTGAACTCACAGAGATCCTTTTGCCTCTGCCTCCTGAGTGCTAGAATGAAAGGCTTTTGCCACCATACCCGGCTTCTGTTTGGTTCTTTCTGGGGAAAGGTCTGGTGTAGTCCAGGCTGGCCTCAGAGTTGCTGTGTAGCAGATGATGACCTTGAATTTCTTAGCATCCTGCCTCAGCCTTCTGAGTACTGGGATTATGCAAGCATGTCCCACCTCGATCAGCCAACTGTGGTTTGTGAAGCAATATTTGTTGCTTCTCATTCTCTCAGCCCCCACACCCCCCACCAAGCCCTCCCGTCTACTTTTCAAGGTCAGTTAGCTGTAACTTTATTTTTACATTGTAAAGGTTGTTAATATTTATAGTTTCTTCCTTATATTTAAATCTTTGTGATTTGACTCCAGGGTGGTTCTAAAAATTGAAACAAAAAAAAAATAACATTTACATGACAATAACTTGAGCCTATCTCTCTTTCCTTTTGTGGTTCCTTGGATTTGAATCTCTAAATCTGGAGCATGAATCCCAGGGTGGGTGAGATGAGTAAACCCACATGGTGCCAGAGGCGTAGACAGAGGAAAAGTGACAGCAGTTAGACTCCTGTGCAAAGGCAGAAGTCTCCCACAGGAGGTCTGTGCTTCTGAGAGGCAGGAAGCGGCTTTCAAGCAGGTGGTGGTATTTGAGCTGTGCTAGGAGGGATGAGGGAATGCAGGGTGTGGAAAGATAGGATTGGAAGCACAGTGTGAGGGGTGGGGGTGTGTGTGTGTGAGAGAGAGAGAAGGGGTGGGGTGGGGTGCAGCCGTTAGCTCTGTTAGCAGGCTACAAGAAGTGAGCAGCACCAGAAAAGCTGTTTGGTCAGAATTTCCGAGAGAGTTGGGGAGGGAGGTGAGTGGGTCCTTAATATTTTAATATTTGCACGATGCTGAGGGATTGACTCTGTCCCCCAGAATGTCGACTGAAGTGGTCCCTCCGAGATGGAAGGGTTCAGAAGCTCGGGGAAACACAGCTAGAAGGGAGAATGAAAAAAGTGAGGTGCCAAAAACCAAACAAACAAACAGCACCCAACAAATATAATGGGCCCGGGCCTTGATGATCACTGTAGGGAAAAAGTTAGAGGTCCAATATCGACATGGTGGCGCACCCCTGTAATCCCAGCCACTTGGAGGCCGAGGCAGCAAGGTTACTTGAGGTTAGGGAAAACCCATCTGCATGGGCTGGCAAGATGGCTCCATGGATCAAAGCACTTGCTGCAGAAGCTTGATGGCCTGAGTTCAGTCCCCGGAAAACCACGTTGGAAGGCGAGAACTCACTCCTGAAAGCTGTCCTCTGACCTCCACACTCCTCTGACATACCTACTCACACATGTATCACACACAGCAATCAATAATTTTTAAAGAAATGGTCTGTGCAACATACTAAGACCCTGTCTCAAGAAACAAAACAAAGGCCAGGCGGTGGTGGAGCACACCTTTAATCCCAGCACTTGGGAGGCAGAGGCAGGTGGATCTCAGTTCAAAGTCAGCCTGGTCTACATACAGAGTGAGTTCCAAGACAGCCAGAGCTGTACAGGGAAACCCTGCCTCGAAAAACAAAACAAAAACCAAACAAAGAAGAAAACAAAAGGTTTCCAGAAGTGAAGGAGAAGCCAAGCCTGAACTATGTGCAGTTGACTGAGAACTTACTAGAAGGCCAAATAGATCACTCAGTGTTCGGAAAGAACCCACGAAAGAGAGATTAGAGTTTTCCCTAGTTACTATACTGAGGGGTTTTTTTTCCCCCCAAGACAGGGTTTCTCTGTGTAGCTTTGGAGCCTGTCCTGGATCTCACTTTGTAGCCCAGGCTGACCTTGAACTCACAGAGATCTGCCTGCCTCTGCCTCCCGAGTGCTGGGATTAAAGGTGTGCACCGCCAGCGCCCAGCGTACTATACTGAGTTTTATAGAGTCTTCCCAATGTCATGTCTATGTAGAACCCGTGAGTATGTCTTAAGACATAGAGCTTTGTGGATATTGTCAAGTTAAGATAAAGTCATATGGCAGGGGTTGCAAATTCAGTGACTACTGTCTATATTATAAGCTGCAGTGGTGGCGATTACCTAGCTTGGGTGGTGGAGCTAGGAAGATCAGCAGTTCAAGACCATCTTAGGCTACATAGGGAGAGTTTGAAGTCTACTTGAGACACCCTCTCAAAAAAAAAATAACAACAACAAAAAAAACCCCATCCAGACCTGATGGTGCAATGCCTGTAATCTCAGTACTTGGGAATCTGAGACAAGAGAATTTCTGAGAGTTTTGGGTTAGCTTGGGCTACATAGTGAATTCTGAGTCAGTCCAAACTAAGAGTGAGACCCTGTTTCAAAAAGGTTGGGATGGAGGCCTGGGGTTGGAGAGATGGCTCAGTGGTTAAGAGCACTGGCTGCTCTTGCAGAGGACCCAGGTTCACTTCCCAGCACCCACATGGCAGCTCACAACTGTCTGTAACCGCAGTTCCAGGGGATCTGATGTCCTCTCCTGGCACCCAAAGTTACCGGGCCCCACATGCTATGCACATAAATACATGCAACCAAAACATTCCTATATAAAAATCAATCCAACTTCAAAAGGGGGTAATTTAGACACACAGTGACATGGATACGAGGAGCGGGAAGATGCCATTGTGAAGATGGGCAGAAATTAGAGCAATGCCAAGGAATGCCAAAGATTGCTGGCAACCACCACCAAGCTGAGACAAGGCAAGAGTCTTCCTAAGATGTTTCAGATTTGCAGGTCAGTCTAATCTTCTAACATTAGGACAAGACATTGTTGTCTACAAAGTTCACACTCAAGAACTACGCATTTGAGCCCAGCGCTGCTGGCACACTCCTTTAATCCCAGCACTCGGGAGGCAGAGGCAGGCCGAGCTCTGAGTTCGAGGCCGGCTTGGTCTACAAAATGAGTTCCAGGACAGCCTGGGCTACACGGAGAAACCCTGTCTCAAAAAACCAAAAACCAAAACCAAAATAAACAAACAAAAAGACAAAAAACAACTGTACACAATTGAATTACAAATTCTCATAATATCCTAAGTATGGTGGTTGGTTTAATGTCAACTTGCCAGAAATTAGAGTCACCTGAATAGGAAGCCTCACCCAAGAACTGTCCTGACGGCCACGATTGATGTAGGTAGGAAGACCCACACTGCAGGGTGGCCCCTTCCTTCTACTAACAGCTCATAAAAAAAAAAAAAAAAGTGTGTCAGAAGGTGTGTCCCTTTTTGTTCCCTGGCCTTCCCTCTTACCCCCTTCGCTGATTTGCCTGACGTGGTCCCCAGAGTCATTCTGTGATGTTCTCTGCTATTCTCTTCCTTCCACAGAGGAAACTGGTGGGTGCAGAGGGCAAGCGTGTGCAGAAGCTGTGTGTCATCTTTGGGCATCCCAGTGCCCCAAACCCTGGGGGTGTGGATTTTAGGGCGATCTCACCTCCCTGAGCTTATTCTTGTCTCCGTGGGTGTAGGAAGGACCATCAGAGCTCTTTACCTGTGCAATACAGAGCACTTCGGGCCTTGCTTGAAGCCATGCTGAGTCGATGTATGGAGTTTTCCCAGACCCCACTGAACAGGAGGCCCCTGGTGAGTGAACTGCCACCATGCGTCTTTTGGAGCCCCTTGCTCTAATGTCTGTCTGTCTGTCTTTTTTCTCTGCCATGAGACTGTAAGCATGCATCACCATACCTATCTTAATTTATTAAATTCTTTCATGTTGTAATACTGGGGATTGAACCTAGGGCCTTGTATGTGCTAGGCAAGCACTTTACCACTGAGCTGCATCTCCAGCTCTCCAATTTGTTTTCAGAAAAGCTATTTGTACATCATCTTATCTCCTGAGCCAGTTTATGGGCTTAAGGGTAACTATCTCCACTTTGATTGTTGATGAAGAAACTGAAGCCATGGGTGTTAAACACTTTTCTCTAAAGACCAAAATTTCGAAGTACCTCAGCAAGCAAGGCTCATACCTGTAACCCTTATATTCAGGAGGCTGAGGTAGGAGGATTGAAGAGTTTGAAGCTAGCCTCGGCTACGTAATGTCTCAAAATAATTTAACTACTATCCGAGTGTTGTTAATTGCATCATTTTTCTTGTTTTGTTTTTGTTTACTTGTTTGTTTATTTTTGTGCTGCTGGGAATCAGACCCAGGGCTTCAGGAGTAAAAGACAAATACTCCACACTAAGCCACATTCCTAGCCCTAGGTTGTAGGCATGGTAAAGATTCTCACAACATTATTAAATACTGGATGCTTTAGGATCTTAGAAAGAATCTGACTGATGTGTACTATGTTGTAATTACTGGCTTTTAATGGTTCATAGACTTATGTATCAGGAAAGATACTCTCATTATTAGTGTTATGTTTTTCAGGATTATAGTTCTCAGACCAGCTGGGGTGAGGATTTTCTTGTGTTATTGAGCAACAATGTGGGCATTACAGCTACTTAGGCTATTGTTCACCAGCTGTGGCAGCTTTCTATATAATATATATATATATATATATATATATATATATATATATATTAGACCAAGAGCCATTCTTGAGGTGCTTAGGCACATGGGGTTAAAGTTATCCCCTCTGCTATTTTTAAATGAGCTACTCAGATTTGTGAGGATATACCTAAGATCCCTTGGAAAGTTAGGTATATGTGAAGGACAGGCTGCAGTGAGGGAGGGAGAGGTCTGTAGCATCCAGACCTAGACTGGCACATGGAGTGGGTGTGTGACTCATGAGCTCCCCTCCTCTCCTCATCCCAGGGCCATGCTGGCAGTAGAAACTCAGAGAAGGCCACTCTTCGAAAGGGGAAATTCCTCCTGAGCACTCTGGAGGGGTTTAGGAATGCCTGCAGGTAAGGGCCCTCTGCAGCCTGAGGCTGGAGAGTAGGGGCTGGCAGCGCTTAGGCAAAGGACAATGCAGCACCTGGCCTCTGTGGCTCTTCAGAACTATGAAAAGCTTGGGGTATGTGGAGGAAGTTTCAGGACGGGTAGCTAGAGGTTGGACGGTTCTAGATTTCCCAAAAGCATCCTGGTGATGCTTCTGCTACTGGACCATGAGTTTATTTTAAAAACATCTTTTAAGCTTTATTTATTTTTATTTTATGTGTGTGGGTGTTTTGCTTGAATGTATGTATGTGTACCATGTCCATGCATTGCCCATGGTAGCTAAGAGAGGGTATCAAGCCAGGTGGTGGTGATGCACACCTTTAAGCCCAGCATTTGGGAGACAGAGGCAGGTAGATTTCTAAGTTTGAGGACAGCCAGGGCTACACAGAGAAACCCTGTTGAGAGAGAGAGAGAGAGAGAGAGAGAGAGAGAGAGAGAGAGAGAGAGAGAGAGAGAGAGAGAAACAGATCCCCTCCTGGAACTGGAGTTACAGAAGGTTGTCAGTCACTATGTGGGTGCTGGGAATTGAACCTGGGTCCTCTGGAAGAGCAGCCAGTGCTCTTAACCACTTGAGCCATCTCTGCAGCCCTCATGAGGTTATTCCTTATTCACTTTTGTTCCTCCCTGAAACTAGCCTAATGCTGTCACTCTTCTCTGAACACGCTTCACATAAACAGATGTTTGTCACATCTGTGTGCCAGACCTGGGGATAGAAAGATAAGTCAGAATGACTCCTGCCAGCAGGGAGCTGACAGTCTCTGAGGGAAGGGACACTTTTGAGTATATACATGAATTCTCTAAGTTGTATAGAATCCAAGAAAAGTATTATAGGCAGGCAGAGGAGCATTGGGAAAGGCAAAGAGATGTGTTAGCAGATCGCACGAGATGCTTGGGGGTAAACACAGGGAGCCATATGTGATGTGGCAGCAGGGACTTGGAGGGCTAATTAAAGCCCTGAACTTCTCCTCATTGAGGACTCTTAAAATCGCCCCCATCTGAGGGTGGGAATACTTTCCCCGAATTCTGAGCTCAGTCTAAGAGGGTACATCCTCTCTCATGGTGCATGGGTGTTAATAAGCATACATACTGATTTCTCAGGTTGGCTGTGGAATTCCAAGGTGAGCCTTCCGCCCAGGAGAATCCCTTCACAGCTCCCAGTGCAGAGAAGGAAGATACCTTGGAGGCCTTCTCAGAATTTCTTCTCAGTGCCTGTGACTCCCAGTGTATTCCTATGATGATGGTAGGCTCTTCTCCACAGGCAGCCTGGACCTGGGGGACCATTCAGCTAGCCCTCAGGCCCTTAGCCATGTTATTCTTGCTGCCACCTTTATTTTGGGTGTAAAAAGACAGTGTGTTTCATTATAAAACTAATAGATTCATCTGAAGAAAACGTTGAAATGAGTAGCAATGAAATAATATGCAGGTGATGTTTGTAATGTGGTACTTGACTTACAGGCACTGTGTAATTTTATCCCTGTGGCCGTGGAAGAAGGGTATTAGAATTTTCCCTAATAGCTCTCCCCTGCCTCAGACCTTACACATGCTAACAAGTGTCTGTTACTAAACTCTACTCCTTAATTTTTAAATGATGCTCTTCTACTGTTAGAAAGCATGTGCCAGGCCTGGTG